CCTGCCGCCCTCAGCATAGGCGCACTGCCCGTTGGGGCTTCGATGTCCGGCCCCCTCCGCGCGCAAAACCCGCGCCGTGGAACGTCGGCGAAAAGCAACGCCGTTGCCGTTGCGTGCCCCGATCAAGGCAGCATCACCTGGAGGGCGAGGCCCCGTGGTCTCGGTTTCCAGATCAGCCGCGGGCGCGAGCAAAGCCGACGCGCGGGCCGCCATCTAACGCGCGCCGAAAGCGCGGAAGCATCCGAGACGTGGAACAGCGGGCCCCGGCCGCGGTCATCGCCGTCGCCGTCGTCGTCGCCGTCGTCGTCGTCGCCGTCGTCGTCGTCGTCGTCCTCCCCCCCCTCTTCTGCCCCCCCCCCTCCTCTGCCGACCCCCCCCTTCGCCGGCGGGCGCTTTCCAAGCCCCCCCCCTCTATTCGTAGAGCCGGCCGCCGCCAGCCACCAAGTAAATTGCCCGTCTCTTCGTCGGTCGCGCCCATTTCCGCGGCGCCAGCTCTGGGCTGGCGACCCGGCGCGCCCGCGGGCTGCAGCTCGGCGAAACCTCTTTCCGCCAACTCCTGAACGCAGCCCCGGCGGAACTCTCTCGCGGGCCCTTAAGGTCGCGAGCCCGAGATCAAAGCCGTCGCTGCCCTGGAGACGCCGCGCGCGCGCTAGCCGCCGGGCCCCGCCCTTGCCCCCGAAGAAATCGCTGCTTCTTGCCGCAGGCATTCCTGCGCCGAAGACGCTCGCAGACTGCCGCCCGCCGCCGCGCGGTGCGTCGCGCGGTGTGCAGGCGCCGGCCGCGTCGCGGGCCCGCGGCGCCCCCGCGCGCCGCCCCGCGCGGGCCCTCGCGGGCGAGGGGCGCCCGCCCCTCGGCCGCAAACGCACGCGCTCGCTGCAACGCGCGCTTCCGCCGCGGGCCCGCGCGCCGTCGAAGTCGCGGATCCGGGCCGCAAGCTCGGCAACGTCGCGCGAGAAGTTCACCTTCCCCGCGCTGGATGACAGGGCCGCCTCGGTCGCCGCCTCCTCCGCCAGCTGGCCGCGGCGCGCGGTGGTCGCTGCAACTATGGCGGTCGACGGAGAGCTCTGCTCCGTCTCGTCGAAAGGCGCCGCCGGGAAGTTGCGGGGCAGCTCGGGCGCCCGAGACGCCGCCTCGGGAACTGCCTCGGGCGCCCCCCCCCCCCCCCGGGCGACGCTTCGGGCGGCGCCCCGGGCAGCGCGTCGGACGGTGCCTCGGACGGCCCAGGGTGGAACTCCAAGCGCTTCTTGTTCTCCGCGGGGCTCTGATGAAAGCCCGCTGGATTGAGGAGATCAGAGTCGCCGAAACCCACTGGGGGTTCCAGATCCTGCTCTGGCCCCCGATCTCGGCGCCCGGGCGGGAAGATGAGCGCCGGCCCCCGACCGTGGCGCCTGGGAGTTGCCGGCGGGGCGCCGTCGTCGAGGAGGCGCCCGAGCGGCGGCCGCCGCGGCATCTGGCCGGGGCTGGCCTAGTCAGGAGGAGGAGCGCGAGGGCGAGGAGGGGGCCCCATGCCGAGGACGAGGGGCGGGAGAAGGAGGAGCGCGGAGGAGGAGGGGCGCCTGCGGCTCTGGCGGGGCGGCCGCGGGGACTGCGACCGCGGCTTCCACGCGGGTGGCGGGCCCGGAATCGGCCGAGGGGCCGCTTGGGCCGCCGGCGCGCGGCGGCCCCTGCGCGGGCTTCGGAGACGCGGACCCCTCGGCCACGGGCTGGGCTGGAAACCTGGGAGGGTCGAGCCTGCCTCTGAGGGGCCCAGCGCAATCTCGACGCGCCTCATCTGCCGGGGGGAACTCGTCGACGCCCCATCAATCGGACACTTCATCTGTTTCTCACAAAAGAAAACCATGCCAAAAAGGAGAGCCGATGTAAGTCATCGCTGGGCAACTTGGCAGAGATGGTCGAGCAGCGGCGCCGCGCGCCCCCCCGAACGAGGCTCAACGACGAACGTCGCTTGGGGGGGCTGCCACCCCATTCGAGAGGGACCTCTCGGGCGTTTTGCGCCCACCTCATGCAGTCGCCCAAGGGGCCTGGGAATTGCAAACGAACTCGCCGCCGGTACGATCGAAGAGATCAGGGCCCCCCTTGTCGAAGAACCTCCTCTGCGCCCCGTCGGTCGAAAAAGCGACGATCTCGAGGTTCCAGCTTCCCGCCGCGCCGGGCGCAGTAGTGAGACCAGGTTGATAAAGCAAACCCAACAGCGAACTGATTGGAAGGGCCCCCGCGTCGATGCCCCCGCCGGCTTTGGCGCCGCCTGCTCGCTCTCAGCGGCGACCAAGACGCCCGGGGCAACGGCGGACGCTCGCGCCCCTCCTCGAACGACGCGCGCAAGACAGCGCGACGCAGAACGTCGCTGTTCGCGTTCAGGGACTGATGCCCCCACTTATACAAGTGGACGGAATCGTCGCAGTCGGCCCGCACGGCGTGGAACACGACGGACTTATACTCCTTTCCGATGCGCTTGAACCGTTCCGGCGGCGGCGCTGGAACCGCCTGGCGATCGCCTCAGGGCACCTCCCACGGGGGCGCTTGGGTGGAAGCCTTCGCCTTTGAAAAGGCCATCGCTGCCCGCGGGGGCGCGCGGGATGAGCGCAACCGATTGAGAGATGGGAAACGGCGATGGGGGGGAAAAGAAGGCGACGACGGCGACGGCGACGGTGTGACGACGATTGCGGCGGTGACGATGGCAATGCTGACGATGTTAATGACGGTGATGATGATGATGATGATGATGATGATGATGATGGCTACGATGGCGATAACAAGGCAAACTCACTGATGACGGTGAGGATGAAGAAGGCGATGACGACGGCGATGACGGCAAGTATGATGACAGTGAAGATGGCGAGGATGCGGATGAGGACGACGGGAAGGAGGGCGCACATACCGGCATGCATGTTCAGGTCTGCGTGTAACGCACTGGCCTGCATGCATGCGCGCAGGTCTACACGAGACGCAAAAGGGACATACTCGGCACAGTTGGGTCGACATGCGCCGTACCACCCTCCCCGCCCGCCGCGACTGTGATCTTGTCCGAAGCTGCCCCCGGATCGTCATCCAGGTTGCCCGCTTCGATGTCAGTCGTCGCACTGAACCACAAGAGCCTCTTGACCATCATGTTGGTGCTACGCCAATTCTGCACGAGCCCCCCCCCCCCCGGCAGCAGTGTGAACGTCAGGAATATGACCCTGATGTCTGGCAACATCCCGAGCATAGACAAGGGCCTCGCACTGTGCCGCCAGCCCGGGGCCAAGACCTTCGAAACTGCGCAGGAGGGGATGCTCAAGGGACTCCAGACCGCCCGTGCTGCCTGCAAGGTTGGGCCAAACTTGAACCGATTGCTGCGCGAACGCCTTCTCGTGATCTTCCAACTCCTGGTACTCAGCCCACATGACCATGACCATGGCCTTGCCAAATTCTCCACCGAACTGCGGTTCTGTTCTCTGACACTTGCCATGAGAATGCGCCAACTCAGATCGTACTCCTGAATGCTGCTCCAGAGCATGCTTGGAAGTCGCCTCTGGCTCGTCCGATTTGTTAGCAGCAGTTTTCATTTCCCTCTTCAGAGCGCCTGACATGAAAATCGATGTTGCTGCGAACTGTTCCAATTCCATGTCGACCAAGGGCTGAAGCTGATCTGCCGACACCTCTGGCCGTGGTGGTGGGGTCAACAACTTTGCGGTTGGGGTCTGCTGTTCCCTACCTTGCCACCCGTTGCCAGTTGATTTAATCCACCAAGCCCGCTAGGCTCAGCATGACGACCCTCACGCACCTTGCGAAGCTCGAGCGTGCGCCGCTCCGCGTTGTTGCGGCAGACGCCGTGACCGCAGACTGGTATACGAGAAACGGAGTTGAGCTGCAGCTACACGCTGTGCTGTAATGTATTCTCGGTGTTGGGGCAGACCAACGAAGAGCTCAGGTCAGGGCGAACTGACCGTGAGGTGAAAACTAGCCGCGGACCAGCGGTACCCATTTGGCCCCCCAGGGAACTTCGAAAATTTGAGTCACAATGGCCACGGATGAAGAAGGAGGAGAAGCAGAAAACACGTAAGACATCGAAGCGGAATACGAAGGAGAGTAAGAGGGAGGAGAGGAGGGAAAGGATGATGACGAGGAGGGAGGAACACAGGTGACGATCGGTAGGCAGGAAAAAGGGGAGCCCTCATCGCCCTTGTCCTCCCCCCCCCCTCCTCATACTCGCCCTTCACATGATCATTGTCCTCATTCTCCTCCTCCTCCTCATCTTCTTCCTCCTCCTCTCTATTATCATTGTCATCACTATCCTCGCCATCCTCCTCCTCATCAGTAACAGCATTACAGCCGACGCCACCACCATCATCATCATCACCACCACCATCACCGTCAACATCACCACAACCACCGACCGCCATCACCACCACCACCACCACACCCACCATCATCATCATCATCATCATCATCATCATCATCATCATCATCATCATCATCATCATCATCATCATCATCATTATCATCATCACCACCATCATCACAGCCACAATCATGAGCATCATCGTATGCGTCCTCATCCTGGTCATCAGCATCAATCATCACCATCATCACCACCAAGATCATCACCATCATCGTCGTCATCAGCATCATCATCATCATCATCCTCATCATCATCATCATCATCCTTCTCGCCATCATCACCATTACCATCATCATCATCCTCATCATCAATATCAGCATCATCATCATCATCATCATCATCATCATCCGTGTCACCATCATCATCATCATCATCAGCATCACATCCTCATCCTCATCCTCGTTCTCGTCCTCATCCTCATCCTCTTCCTCATCCTCCGTGCCCTCATCATCCTCACCATCCTCATCATCCTCATCATCCTCATCATCCTCGTCATCCTCATCATCCTCGCCCTCCATTTGATCCTCATCCCTCCCTCCTTCCCCAGCTCCGTCATCCTATTGATCCATCTTCTTCCACCCGAAAGCGAGCAAGGAGAGAATGCCCCTAACCCATGGTCCGATCTGCGTCGCCGGGTCGAACGGGGGCGGCTCTGGCGGCCCCTGGCCCCGTAGCAAGGAGGAGGGAGGCCAGGAGGACGATGATGAGGAAAAGGAGGAGGGAGAAGGGGAGGAGGGGAAGGCGGAGGAACATGAGGAGGACGAAGACGACGAGAAGGCGGAGGGGGGAAGGGGAAGAGGGGGGGGAAGGGAAAGAGGAAGGGGATGACGAGAAGGAGGACAAGAAATATGGGAAGCAGGAGTACAACGAGGAGGAGGAGGAGAAGGAGGCGAAGGGTGAGGAGGAGGAGGAAGAGAAGGAGGAGAAGGAACAGAAGGATGATATAAGGACAATGACAAGGCGGGCGGGGTTGGGGGTGGGGGCGTTCGAGGTCTGAGAGGAGGAGGAGGAGAAGGAGGAGGGGAGGAAGAGAACCAGAGAAAAACGAAGATGCACCAACGATGCTGCAATACACCCTCCAACCCTCCCCCCCCCACACCACCACACACAAACACACACACACGCCCTTTCGAGCTTCCCTCTTCACTACAACGAGGGCCCCTATGGAAGACAGTGTGGCCTACCATTGTGGCGAGGGCCCCGTTTTGAGAAGGAATTGGCTTGCCCATGTCTGGCGCAGAACACGAATACCGTTTGGCGATATCAAATTACGTAGATGGACCGCCCCCCTCCGTGCAACTGTTGCACAAGTGTACTCATGTGGTCATGAAGCTCGGGAAATCTCATGTTGAACACGACCCGCCCTCCCGTCCGTGGAAGCGCCACACGAGTTCGAAACACATGCACGTGGCGCGAAGGCAATATCGACATTTTGAAAATTGTCCCCTTCCCCGATGCTGCTGAAAAATGTTGAGACGCATGTGCGCGGCACTGAGGCGAGAGCCACATGTTGCAAATTGCCCCCCTCCATCCATGCAGCTGTTGCTTATTGTTAAAAGAATGCACGCGGTGTTAAGGCGCATTCCATCTGAAGTTGCTGCAAACTTGTAAAACGGACGCGCACGGCACTAATGCGAGAACTCCATGTTTAAAACCACCAGCCGTCCATCTGCCACATTGCTACACATGTTGGAGACGAATGTGCACGGCGCTGAAGCGAGATAGCCACATCTTGAAAACAACCCACCCTCTATTCTCAAAGCTGCTGCAAAATCTGAAGACGAATCTGTGCGGCGCTGGGGCGAGAACTCCATTCTGAAAGCGACCCGCCCTCCATCAATGAACATGCTGCATATTCCACGTGTCAGGATGATACATGGTGAGGGTTGCCGATGCCCCCCCGTTACCCCATTTCCCGCCCCCGCCCCCGCTGCTGACCCCGCTCCCGTTGACTTTGCTGTTCCCGCCCTGGCTGCCGCCCCTGGCTCCAGTTCCATCTAATCATGCTCTTCTTCTTTGTCGCCCTCCTCCTCAATATTGTTTCCGGCTAAAAGACGTCCTCCCTGTCGCACCTCAAACGTGTCGGAAGGGCGGGCCTGGCATTTCGCCCCCAACCCCCTTGCAATACTTATGATCCCGACGCTTGAAAACTGCAGCACCTTCAAGGATGGAGGGCCGGTGGCTTTTAAAACGTGGTTCCCGCCTTTGCACCGCGCGCAATCAACTCGCACATGTGCAACAATTTCAAAGATGGGGCACGGGTCATTTTCAAAATGTGGTTCTCGCCTTAGCGCCGCGCGCATCCGTCTTGAAACGCTGCTCCCGTGCCAAAGGTTCGCAAGGCTGAAGTGCCACGAATGGCGTTCTGGCGCAATTCAGTATTGTCAGGACCCCGCAATCATGTTGATAAGCGGTGTTAAAGTCCCACGAGCAGCGCCGTGGGACGATTTAGGATTACCAGGGCGCAGCAGTCACGTTGATTCGGCGCGCTGGAAATCCTACGAGCGGTGTTTTGGCACGTGGGGATTCTCGGACGGCTGTGTTTCAATCGGGCACATCCCGCAATGGAATTCTCGATGCTGGTAGGGACCTACGAAGAGGGAGCTTGAAGGGAGAGTGTATTGAAACATCGTTGATGAGTCTTGGGCTTGCACTGGTCCCACTATCCGCCTCCTCACCTTCCTTCTTCTCTGTCCTCAATCCTCGTCGTCCTCCGTCTCCTCCTCCCCCCCCTACCCTCCTCCATCCCTGCCTCCTACTTTTGCTTCTCCTCCTCCTCCTCCTCGTCCTCGTCCTCGTCGTCCTCGTCCTCGTCCTCCTCCTCGTCATCCTTGCTCTCCTCCTCCTCCTCCTCCTCCTCCTTCTCCTCCTCCTCCTTCTCCTCCTCCTCTTCCCCCTCCTCCTCCTCCTCCTCCTCCTCCTCCTCCCTCCTCCTCCTCCTCCTCCCCTCCTCCTGCTCCTCCTCCTCCTCCTCCTCCTCCTCCTCTTCCCCCTCCTCCTCCTCGTTCTTGTCCTCCTCCTCCTTCTCCTGCTTCTCCTCCTCCTCCTCCTCCTCCCCTCCTCCTCCTGCTCCTCTTCCTCCTCGTTTCGAGCTGTGGGCATCTGGCTCCCTCCAGGGGCGGCGGCCATCGCGCGCCCCTCTCCTTCTCATCCTCTCCCCAGAAGCGGCTTGATGGCGGGTGGGGGGGAGGGCGCGGTGTAAACGTGGGCTGACGCTCTAGCCCAAAGGGAATGGGGGGGCAAGAACGAGGGAGACAGTCGGAGGGGCGACGCGAGAAGAAACAACAGGATTACAAGAGATAACAATACATATAGAGAGAGAGATAGAGAGAAAAAGACAAAGAGAAAGAGAGAGGAGAGGAAAACTTGGGAAAAGCCAAGAGGAGCAGCAGGCACGACGGATGAGGGAGGGAGAAGAGGAGGGAGAGGCTCGACAACGCACCCGGCGCACCCCTCAGTCCCAGGGAACTTTGGAGGGTTCTCTTAAGGGGGCTTCGCCGGTATCGGCGGCCCTATGGTTTGGATCGTTCGTGTTCGTGCTGCCCATCTGGCTATCTCCGTCCCCAACCTACTCTTTACCTCAGAACCCCCTCCCCCACATTCCGCCCCGCACAACATGGCGGCGGCAGTCAGGTGCTTGCGGGGAAGCGTGCTCCTTGGGGAGAGGCGAGCCGAATTGCGGCGCGTAGGGAAATATTATGGGGACGTGACATGTTGAGTGGTCCGGCAGCGGGGCGGTGAGCGCGGCGACGCTCGTGACCCTCAGGCCCGTCGATCGTGAGACACGCCACGGGCGCCGGCAAGCGCTGCCAAATTTACGTGTGTTTGCGGGCGCCGGCGGCCTCCGGATGAGTCCAGAACAGCCACGGCCAGCTCTGGTTCGCCTCGCGGCCGACCCAGAACCCGACGGGGCGGCAACAACACGGACAGACGGCCCCTGCCAGGCCAGGGCAGCGACGGCCAAGGTACGGTGAGCGCGTTGGCTCCTGAAGGCCCGAACGCTCCAGCCCGTCCCCCATGACCTTATTCCGCATCCTCGATCATGGTGGCACTATCGGCCTTCCAGCGCCGCCAGTCGGCGGCGCGCGGGTGGCCTCGGCACCCGGGCGCCACGGTTACGCGGCATTTGCTATTTGCCACTGAAGGCGGGGGGCGGCCCAAGAGGAGAGGGAGAGCAGGGGCAGGGGGGTACTGATGAGGGGGGTAAATTTGGAGAGACTCTCAGGCATGGCATCAAGGACTGAGAAGCCGCCACTCCTTCTGCAAGCGCACCTGTTGTCCGCGCGCCCTGTCGCAGGACAAGCGGGCCAGCCCTATGATGCTGGCCTTGGCCTAGAGGCGGGGATGCGGACGAGCTATGCGTGGAGGGCATGAGGCCGACGCTGCAATCATGGCACAACCATCTGCAGGTGCCCAGGCGACCGTCGCAGCCGCATCGGTCGACGTTGCGGCAGTCCCATCCCAAGTGGGGCGTGTCCTCGGCGGAGTTGCTCAAGGTAGGGTGCCCGCTGCAGTCGGGGCAGTGCGGCGCCGCGCAGGTGTCGTCGGCGGCCGAGGCGGTGGCACAGGTGTTGGCGCGGGCATCCAGGGCCGCCTTGGCGGCGGGCGCAGCCGCAGCGTTGTAATGGGAGTGCTTGCAGGCCTCGTGCTCGGACTTGTGATCTCACCTCGCGCCCTTCTCCATTTCCTCTTCCTCCTCGTGCTCGAAGTCGTCCTCCTCGCCCTCCGCCACGTGCGTGGCGTCCTCCTCCTCCTCCTCCTCCTCCTCCTTGCCCTCCTCCACTTCGGTGACCGCGAGGCTGGGGATGCCGAGGAAAGGCAGGCTGCGCAAGATCCCAAGCGCGCCCTCGATGTCCTCCTCCTCCTCCTCCTCCTCTTCCTCCTCGTCCTCGTCCTCCTCCTCCTCCTCCTCCTCCTCCTCCTCCTCCTCCCCTTCGTGCTTGGCGCCCTCGTCCTCGCCCTCCTCCGCGTGCATGGTGCCCTTCTCCTCGCCCTCCTCCTTGTCTTGCCCGGCCAATGAATCGGCGCGCGAGTCGGCCGAGGAATCCTGGAAGGCGGACTCGTAGGTGTCCTGGGCCTGGAAGGCGGTGACCACTCTCGGTTTTGCGCCGATCAGCACTACACTAACCTGCATGATGGCATTGTTGCGTAGCCTCCTTAGTCTCGTAGCGCACGAAGTTGTAGCCCTGAGAGATTCCAAAGCGGTCGCACTCCACCTTGAAGGTCCGAACCTGGCCGCGGAGTCTGAAGGCGTCGTGTAGGGCGCTGTTGTAGATGAGGCGGTCCAGGTTCCTCGCGTACAAACTCCTGGCGTCGCTCTCACGCAGGCTCGCGTCGCGCTGGGCCCACGTGATGCGGCAGGAGCGCCCGCTGATGGCGGAAAAGTTCAGCGTGTCAATGGCCTTTTCGGCGTCATGCGCGGCGTGGAAGTTGACTCAAGCACATATGGTGGGTCTGCGTGCGAAGGCGCTGCCACGAATTCGGATTGACTCTACCAGTGCCGCTGGGCAGTAAAGCGCGTATAGTATCTCCTCGGCGACGTCGCCATGGAGGTCGTCGACGAAGAAGGGGCGCCCGTTGCGGGATCCTCCCTGCTAGCGAGCTGGTCGTATGAACTGGACTGGTTGACTATGCAAGCTGTAGGAACCTCCATGCCGCGTGGCCTGTGGCCCTGCCTCCCCCGTCCCCCAATCCTCCTGAGAGAGAGAGAGAGAGCCCCTCGCATCCATAACTCCACCTCCGAAGGATCCTCCACCTCCTCGTCCTGCCCAGCCTGGTCGACGGGCTGGCCAATCTGGGCGCCGTCGCGGGCTATGCTGGCGTCGTCGGCCGCGACGACGCTGGTGATGTCAGCGTCGAAAGTGATGCCGGAGTTGGCGCTGTCAGTGGCGGTGGCAGCGAAGGCGTCGGGAACTCGGTGACCAGCTGCGCCGAGAAGAGTCTGTGCCGCTGCGGCTTGAATTTTGATCGCAGGTGGGTAGGCTACCCGTGCAAGCGTTGCTCCGGTCCCATCCCACGGCACTGGCTGGGCCGGTGGCATTTGGGGCCCTGGTATTGAAGCTGTCGGCCACATAAGCGTTGGTGTCGTCGTTGGCTGTGGCGTAGGGCGTAGGCGAAGGTGTTCATGTTGGTGATAATGTTGGGGATGAACCCTCGCGCGTTCCTGTTGAGGCTGCTGTCGCTGTGCTCGGTGTTGGTAGTGGCGTCGGTGTAGGAGCTGGCGCTGGCGTAAGTGTAGGCGTTCTCGCTGGTACCAGCACCGTCGCGGGCGTTGGCGTGGCCATCCCGATCGCTCTGAAGCCGCTGATTCCTTTCACTCGAATGCCAACTGCTCCGATGCTGCCAAATCAACAGCGTGGCCATGTTTTTGTTTGCCATGTAAGTGCCCGGGCTGCGCAAGCCAGTCTCTGGTCGGCAGCGACTTCTGGCAGGCAACCTCCGCGGTCTCGTCGATCACGGGTGTGTCTCGGCTGATCGCCGGTGATCTGGTAGCGATGCTTCCGGTCGTAGGCGTCGGTGCTGGCGTAAGCGCTGGTGTCGGCTTTGGCGGCGGCCGCCGCGGGCCTGCAGTGGGGCAACGGCCGCCGCAGCCGCCAGGCGGCTGCCGGTGGCGCGTGGGCATCGCGGTTGCCGCGGCCGCGGGCAGCGCTGCCTGCCGCCACAGCGCGCTGCCAGGAGCCGCGCTCGTCGCCGCCCGTGGGGGGCCGGGCGGGGGTACGAGTGCCCGCAGATGGCGCCTCCTCCTCCTTCTCCTCCTCCTCCTGAGAAGACGACACCGCGGACGAACACGAGGGGATGCGTTACCAAGTACTCTGAGGACGAGGAGAATGCGACTGCGCAGGGAGGAGGGGGCAGAGGCCCGGTTTGGTTAGCGCGTGCACGCCAAGATGCGCCCTTCCAGCCCTCACTGGTCGCCCTGCTGGCTGAGGCGCAGAAGGATAGCCAGGCCCCAAACTGCGGCCTGGGCAGGGGAGGAGGGGGCCGGGAGGGCCGGCTTGGTTGGCGCGTGCACGCCAAGATACATCCCTCCAGTTCGGGTGTTGCTAGAAGTGTCCTAAGCCAAAGGTGCCTCCAGCATCTCCAAGCAGGCCCTCCGGCCTCCAGAGCACCCCGCATGATGCCCAAAAAGCCCCAGGAGCTCTGGAGTGTAGCGACAAGCTGCGGACACCTTGGGCCAGGGACACCTTTATTAACCCCCGTGACCGCGTGGAGGTCGCAGATGGAGGTCGCAGATGGCGCGTACAGGTCGCAGCTGGGGGACCTGTGCGCGGCCGCGCTGCCGCACATTGCACGCCGCGGACCGGTCGCATCCGATCCGTTGCGGTCCTGCTCGGCTGGCCCGGCCTGGCCTGCGCGTGCGCCTCCGGCCCAGCCCTCACGAGGCTGCGGCCAGTGGGTCGAGCCTCTCGACGCGGCGGTCCAAGATCAGCAGGCTCACAACAGACACGGCCAAAAGAACGAGCAAGATCAGACTCCTGACGACAGGGTAGTCTGCCAGGGCCACGCCAATCGGAAACTGCACGGCGAAGCCGAGGCTCTGCCAGAGCTTGGCGTTCGCCATGGCAGGGACGAGCTTATCGGAGCTGGCGTAGAAGGTTTGCAGCGTGGCCGGAGGCCCCGACTCGAAGAACGCGTCTCCGCATGCGAACAGCGCCGCAAGCGCAAAGACCATAATCATGTCTGTGCTGCTGGGGTCTTGCCGCCTTCTCCAGACTTTATCGTCGCGCTCGTAATTCTGGGGAGCCTGCCAGGCCAGCTTGGCCACCAGATAGCTGGAGATCAGGAGGGCGGCGCAGATGTACACCGCTCGCCTCGACAGCATTCCCCTTGGAAGGGCACCAGCGATCCACGTACACTGATCCTGGCCAGGCCAATTCTGGGCCCAGTATCGGTGTGCACGCACCCCTAGCTCAGCCCACAGGGCATGAGAACCGATCCTGGGCCCAGGACTGGCATGGTCGGGATCAGCGTCAGTGAATGATGAGGTGACGTCCCCCAAAATCCTGGCCAAAAGGCGCCCCCAGAAGGCGGTCGCGAGCGCGTTGACCCCGTAGAAAGTCGACAGCACAAAGCCTGTGACCGCGGCGCCGGCCACCGGGCATGTCAAGTCTGTCTGGAAATCCCCGAAGAAACTGGCCATGGTCATCCCATTGGTCAGCAGCAGGGGGATCAGCAAGCCGGTCCTGGGGTCCGAGAGCGCGAGCCGGCCAGTGTCTAGCAGGGAGGGCAGGCGCTCGCTGGCGCCTCCGCCGGAGGACGGCACCACGGGCAGTGACAGAAACAGCGCCGCGCCGACCGCCGAGATCGCCCCGAGGGTGCAGAACAGCACGCGCTTGGTCGCATCGCCGGCGTGCCCGACCTCCATGATCATAGAGGACAGGAAGGTTCCAATCATCCCAGAGGTCTGGTAAATGGAGAAGAAGAGCTGATTGGCCAGGCAATGCCGAGAGGGGTCACCACTAAAGGGGCTGTCCACAGATCTCCGCACCCTCCACGAGACGGATCCCCTTGGACTCCCAGGGCAACCCCCCAGGACCCACCAACGACGCCACCAAATGCCCAGATTATCCCCGATCTTCGACCCTCCCTACTCCTCCTCCTCCGCCTCCTTCTCCTCCACCTCGACTCTCGATTTCCAGGAGCAGGTACTGACCCCCCTAGCGTAGAAAGCGACAGAAAAACGCAGCTAGGGAAGGAACCTAATAGGGCAGGACAGATCAGCAAACGCCCAGGACCGTTTAGGAAACGCCAGCTTTGGGGGTGAGTGTGGGCTTTCCGCCCCCAGCTTGGCATCAAGAAGACGGCCCTCCAGAAAACGGGTCCTGGACCCCAAGGCCTTCCCCCCAGACTCGCTTTTCATCCCAGGTCTTTTCTGATGGTCCGAGGGTCCGTGGAATGCCCAGGGAGGCAACAGGAACGACGAAACGCCTCAGGACCCGCTTCCCTCAGCACCCGCTTGCTTCGTGGCGATTGACAATGGCGACCCGCCTTGGCGTTGCCTGGGATTGAAGCGGGTGGTTGTCTCCGCGGCTGGGGCGCGGTGCTCGTCGCCACCAGGTGCCGCGCAGTGCGCGGCCCACCAAGCGCAGCGGGACAGGTAGTCGTTCTGGCAAGTCCTAAGGGGCAGCGACTCAGGGGGGGGACTGGCTCAGGGGGGTGGGAGCATCGAGCTGAAGTCGGCGATCCAACCTCCGATAAATCGGCGGGGCGGGCTATCGGGCCTCTCTCGGCGATCGATGGGCGATTGGGAGGCGATGCGCCCCCCTGAGCCCATCCTCCCCAGAACGTTGCCGGTGAGGTCCACAGCAGGGGCGCGGCCGCCCCGACGAGCACGTTCATGGTGATCGGCACCGCCCAGATGGCGGACGGGCCGCCCGAGGTGTCGATCACGTTCGCAAGCACCATCGCCACATATGCCAGGGCGGACAGGGACATCACCTGGAGGCCCTGAAGATGGGGTCCGAGGAGATGGGTGGGACGAAGCCAAGAACACGACAAAATCAAACGGGGACAGCTCGAGGATGTCTGAAATCTGGCGGCTCCGGAAAATGTGTCGGGCGCCGCAGCCGTTCCCGAGCGCTCCGATCCAGCACGCTTTATCCCGGTACATGCCCCGCCCGAATGAGGTCGGAGGATCGATCGCGCCGACGTTGCCGGATGCACCAGGGCCGCCGGCTTGGAGTAGGAATCGGGTTTCCCCATCGAGCGGCGTCGCCGATAGATCGGCGATGCGGCGCCATCCTCCGACCACATCCGCTCTGGTCCCATTTGGGAGGCCCAGATGTCACCAGCCTCAGGCCCACGAAGCGCTCGAGCCCGGCGAGCAGGGGTGGAGCCACCAGACACAGCAGCGTGAAGACGCCGTAGAGGCAGGCCAGGTTGAGGCCGCCCAGCGTGGCGTTCAGCGAGGTCTGCAAGCCCTGCGCACGAGCGACGGGCGCATCCACATCCATGCCCTCGCGGTCTGGACACCGAGGCGCGATCTCCCAGAAGCGCGATCCCGTGGGTACGTCCAGCGCGGGGCAGCCGCCTGCCGCGAAATGCAGCCCTGCATGCTTGCGATCGCGGCCAGGGGGTCCTGGGCCTTAGACAGGGATGCGTTTCCCGCCCACCACCTGCGCCGCTTGGAAGCCCCCGAAAACGCCGCAGAAACCGAGAGAGAGCACCACAACGGCGCCTCGATACCGGGCCTCGTTCTCGCAGGGCTCGATCAGGGGCGAATCCCGCGCTGCCCTGGCGCCTGGTGGCTGCGCCGTCGCATCGGTCTTCTCCATGGTGCTGTTGGGATACGACGAAGGCAGGGTGAGGGCAAATTCGGGCGAGGATAAATCGGGTACCTCTGAGACCTGGCGGGCTTGGAAGATGTACTGGTCGCCGCGGCCGTTCTGGAACTTTCTGAGTCTGTTCTGGATCGCATTTGGAATGATATTTGCCGTAAACCTGCCTGATGGGGGGCCCTCCACATTGAACCAGAGCAGATAGGGTTGGAGGATCGCGCCGCATCGCCGATTCATCGGCGATGCACCAGCGGCGGCGGGATGGGGAAGACCAGGCTCCAGATCGCACCGCATCACCGATGCATCGGCGATGCGGTGCGATTTGTTTGATTTATGTTCCCATCTACTCCAGCCCCATCTGGGAGGCCTGTGTGGTTATCCTCAGTCGAGGGCGTGCGAGTTGCCCAGGCGACGCCCCGTCGCCGTTCTCCTTTCGGCCAGAAGCTACGGCGCCGCGAGCTTGCAGTATCCTCGAAGAAAGCACGCGTCTGGTCTGATCTGGTCTGGGCGCTGGGACGGCTCCCGCTGGCTCCCTTTTCTGGTGGGCGCAGGATGCTGGGCCACGGCGCGCTTCGAACTCGCTGGCCCGCACGCGCCGTGCGGCGTCATCCCTTGTGTTCACCCCTGTGATCTTGAGTCTGCCCAAAACGGCCTCCCTCACCCTTCCTGGGGACTGCCTTGACGGGTAATGGAGCCGCGTCCACCCGCAGCGACGACGAGAAATCCCTCGAATACTCCAAAGAGCGCAAGAAAGACGCGAGCGTCGGGACGTAAAGACCCAGTGGCAAGGAGTGTTGGCATCGAACTAAGCTCGAATCTCTGATTCGCTCAGCTTGCGAGCCTTTTCCGAGAGAAGTCAGCTATCCAGTACCATCCAACGGGAACGCCCAACAAGCTGAGCCGAGTGGGAGACGGGAGACCCTACCACCTACCGATTAAACATATGTGATTATTTCTCTTGGCAGTCGTCGTCGCAAGCTCGTTCGAATCATCGGCTGTGTCCGCAAGGTCGCCCCAACTTGCGTAGCAAGCGCGGCTGCGCGCGGCTGGCGAGATGAGCTCTTGGAGCCTATGTCTCGCAAGGGGTCAAGAGACCTACGCATTGCCTTGCCCTCGTCCGCGAGCTAGTTCGTGTTGTTTGTGCTTTTGGGGGGGGAACTTGCGTCCTTGTGCGGTCTTCATGTCGGTTAGTCAGAATTACGTGTTTCATTAGCCGACTAGTGTCGATGAGCCCTTCATGGCGCGCGCGCCTCCTTCCAATGCGACCAAAACTCTACTTCAATCGCGTTCTCCGCTTTTTTCGGCCACAGGGCCCAACATGAACATTCCACGTTTTTAAACCAGGGGGTTGTAGAAAAAGGCCAGGAGGCGGCTAGGATTATGCTGTTCCCATCGTACTTACGCACCACATCCCAGACATGATTTCGAGTACCCAGAGAAGTATCGAAACAGTGTCTGCCCAACACGCTGGCCAAGTGCCGAACGAGTATCGCCTTCCAGGGCCCGACACGTGAAAGATTCGGTTCTTTCTTGGTGCTCGAAATTGTTTCTGGTGGTCAAGGAAGGCTAAAGTCGGTTAGAGCATCATAAGGATCAGAAGGACGCAGCGCAGAAGGCTCAGAAGGCTAAAGTAGGAGAAAGAGGCGGCACAGAAGGACGACAGACGGACGCACGGACCCCTCTGGAGATGGTGTCTGTGTCGCGGCTGCTGAAGAGTTCCAGGACGGAGCTGCACTCGACGATTGAGGGCCGCAGAAGCACGAGGAGAAAGAGGAGAAGGAGGCGGCGGCCATCAGGACAGCCGGGAAGAGCGCGGCTGTGAACTCTGTTCTGGGCATCGTGCTGACCACTCCCCGCCAAAGGCGGCGGCCAAGGCGGGAATCGACGTCTTTACACTCTTGCAGCGGACCAGGAAAAAGTAAGGACAAATATCCGATGACAATTCCGCGAAGCGCCAATGCCACTCGCAAGGTACAAGCTGTCCCGCGAGTGTGGCCGAAAGGCGGGAATCGAGAGGTGCAAGCCGTGCTGTTGAGGCAAGGGCGAAGCTGCACGGGACCGTCGCCGATGGAGACTGTCTCGCGAAGGCATCCCATGATGTGCACCGAGAGCCCCTCGTCCACTCCCCCTCCCTCCAAAGACGAAACCAGGACGAAGATAGAATCGGCGCGAGGAACATCGAAAATCTCTGAGAACTGGCGCCCTTGGACCATGCATCAGGCGCCGCGGCCGTTCCAGAGCGCTCCAGAACACTCCGAGAGCATTCCAGGAAGCTCTGTAGCGACTCATGTCTGTCGCTGGCCCGCCTGACCTTCCTCGCCTCCCTCCTCGCCTCCCTCCTCTCCCTTCGGGTGCAGTTCAGACGCGGGGGCCCAACGGGCGGGGCGGCATCCCTTTGGCCACCGGCCCCTGCGCCGATCAGCGTGCTGAGCCAGGCTCCCCGAAGCTCACAGAATTCCGAGGCACGAAGGATTCACGGCCAGCTCCAGAGGTAGAATTGCTTGGCAGACCAGGCGCAGGTATCAGACCCGTGCGGGCACGCTCTAGAAAGAGCCTAGCCTTCGGCGCCTCTTGCTCTCGGCGGAAGCCGACGGAAGGCCCACACAGGCTGGCGGAAATAAAGCGGCGGCGGGCCCGCCGGTGGAAGCCAGCGGAAGGTTGGCGGAAGGCGGCGGGAGTAGAAGTGAGGCGCCGACATGTTCGGGCTCAGGGTTTCCAGACTCGGCCGGAAGCAACTGTGGGGCGGTGCCCGATCCTGCTCCCCGCCCGCGCGGGGCGGGAAGCCGACTGCCTCCTGGCCACGCTCGTTTCTGAGAACATTGGTGCCACAGTCCGAAGAGGAGGGGGGAGGGGATCCATCGTCGCAATTCTTTCTGACGTTCTTGGCCATCCTGAGGCCCCAGGAGGGCTCTGGGGCCATCCAGAGACCTCCTGGGACCGTCGGGTACCTCTGGAGACCTTCTGAGACCGAGAGTCGCGCGCAGGAGAAAGGCGGGAGGGAGGAGAAGGGAGGAAGGAGGATCAGGAGGAAGAGAAAAGAAACGCGGAGGACGAGTACGACTTGGCAGAGCGGCGCCACAACCTTCTTGCACCCTCCGAGGGAGGGAAGAAGAGGAAGGCGAAGGATAAGCAGGACTGGGCAAGCGGCGCCGCTATCGGCAACAGAAAGGACGGGGGAAGATGCCCAACAGCGACGTTCGTCCCAAATGGGCAATCCCCACGGCGGCATCGACAGCACATCCTGTTCAACATTGGAAACAGAACTGCGGAATTCCTGTCGGCCCTCCCAGCCCCCCGACGTCGTGTTTTTCACGACGTGGATCCCCAGAGGTCTGGGCCCCTTCGAGTCAAGGAAACGAATTTCCCATCCAGGGTAATTGGTAATTGTTTTACTTTCCTGGGATCTGGTCGGAGCCCCCGTACGCCGAAAACTGCCGAAAACCTTGATAGGCGGTGTCTGTTGTCACAACGCGACGGGGTTAAAGCTCGTCCCCGTTTTTGCCGCCCGCCTGCTCGGTTCTCCTGGTCAAACTTACGCGCACCGTCCACCCTGGAAGCGTAATTACGGCAGGCCTACGGGGCCACCTGGGAGGCACAGGGAGCTGCGAACCAGTGTACGGCTCGTGGCGTGAAGACCCCGGCGTTGGTTTCTGACACTCTGTGGATCGTTCAGCCTCGAACTATCGGCAGCTGCTCGATCGCCAGCTTTAGTTCCATCTTGGCCGAGTCAGGACCGCTGGCGGCGTTCAATCTTGAACGCCAGCGGCGGGGTTGCCGCAGCGTCGACACGAGGCGAACCTGCCGCACTCACCTGTACAGCAGGCAAGAAGCGATCGGCCTTAGGAGTGAGGGCCCTAGGCCCTAGAGCCGTCGGCTTCCAAGGGAGGCTCGCGCCCAGTGCCCGAGCTGTGCGGGCGGCCGGGCAACACAAGGGCGCTGGAGAGCACGTCCAGCCTACATCGGCGGCTCCCGTTCGCTGCGCCCGCAAGAGCTCCTGGGGTTTGGAGGCGGCTGCGGGGTCTGCTTTGGCCGGGCACCAGCAAGCAAAACTAGCCCGGAGGGGAAACTTGGCAAATCCTGCACTCAATGCGCGGCTGGAGAATGCGGCCCAACCTGCCCCCCTCAGCCCCCAAGCCAGCTCCAACCTGGGGCCCAGCCCGAGCCCCGACTCGCTCCCGAAGAAGAGTGCGGACGAGTGCGGAGGGGTTCTGCCATGACGGCGCGCGCGCGCTGACCGCGCGAGAGGCTCAGCCCTGAACGCCTCTTCGCTGTCGGGGGCACCCAAGCGCCCGCCAGGGGGGAGCCTGGCCTTGAACGCCCGCGTTCGCGCCGCCGACGCGTAGAGGCGGCACAAACTCACGCATTCGATAAGACATCTTGATATAAATGATCTAGTATTTGAGCTTCCTGAGGTGCCCCGGAGCTTCTGTGGCTCCGCATGGCCCTCGGAGGATAACATGTTTCTGTGAGGCACCTGTTGGCAGGCCGATTTCGTAATTGACACGCCAACTGTGCCGCATCCTCCTGCACACTGGCAAGAAAACGAATGTCGCCCAGACATCCGGCATCATGAGATTGTCTGTGGCATGGGTCCCCGGACTTCTCGACCCCGTCCCAGAGGCCAGCTTGCGCTTCCTGGGCCGTCCTTCGATGGACGGCCCAGGGGCCCGAAGCGGGCCTCCAGAGGCCTAAGCTTATCCAGCTTCCGCACCCCTGGTGGGCTTGCCCAGCACCTTCCGACCCAGAAACAGCCGTACGCCCACGTGTCCTCGCGGAAGGGGCGCGCACCACTCAGGATCTGTCTGGCCCTGGCCCAGCTCCTCAACTGAGCATCCGGGGGTGTCGCAGCCTCGGCCTTGCCCGACCAGAGCCTGCACTCGAGCTATCCCCTTGCTGACCCCCCCAGCCACCAGCGCGGGTCGGACGAAAGGGAAGGATAGCAAAGGAGGGTTAGCGAATCAGCTCAGTTTAGCTGGTTTTCCCAGCGCCTCCCCAGCCCCCCTTACGCTAGGAAGTGACAATGTATCGAGGAAAGGCTCCTGTCGGCAGGGCCGAAACCAACTGAATGCAGCGAATTTCATGCCACCCCTTTCCCAATCCCTGCGTTTCGTCCGACCCGACCACCCCCTGCCGCAGCCTTCGGCTTCTCGTCTTCCTGCATACTAGTATTCTTCTTCTTCTGGGCCGTCCTGGCTGCCGCGCGCAGCTCGGTGCGACTGTTTCGCCTCGGCGAGCCGAGAGGAGGCCTTCCTGCCACTCTTCCTCCTTCTCATCCTGCTCCTCCTCCTCCTCCTCCTCCTCGTCCTCCTCCTCCTCCTCATTATCACCATCACCATCACCATCACCATCATCACCACCACCATCATCATCACGACCACTACCCATCATTATCACCATCATCATCATCACCACCATCATCATCATCAGCAGCAGCATCAGCATCAGCATCAGCATCAGCATCAGCATCATCATCATCATCATCATCATCATCATCATCATCATAGTCGTCATCATTATCATCATCAACAACTTCATCTTCTTCTTGTTCATCATCATAGCAACATCATTGTCATCATCATCTTCATCATCATAAAACTCATCGTCGTCGTCGTCGGAACCCTCACCACCATCGCGACCACCACCACCATCATCATCAGCGCCATCGTCAACATCATCATCGTCATCATCATCACCGGCACCAACGTCATCATCAGCAGCATCATCATGATAACCCAACTCATTATCATCCTCATCCTCATCCAAAGCATCCTCACCATCACCACCGTCCTGATCATCGTCCTCATCTCCATCTGCATCCTCATCCTCACCCAAGCATCATCCTCACCCAAAGCATCATCCTCATCCTCACCTCCTCTTTCTCACCAGCATCGTCATTATCACCATCATCATCATTAGCATCACCATCACCGTCCTCCTTCTCCTCCTCATCCTCCTCATCGTCGTCAACGTCAGCATCAGCATCAGCATCCGCATCAGCATCTGCATCATCATCACCGTCACCCTCGTTAACATCGCCACCATCACCACCACCATCATCAGCGTCATCATCATCACCGTCATCACCATCATCATCGTCATCGCCGTCGCCATCGTCATCACCATCACCATCACCACCACCAGCATCATCATCGTCATCCTCATCATCCTCATCCTCCTCAGCTTGATCCTCAGCATCCTCGTTCTCCACATCACCAGCAGCATCATCGGGATCACCATCATCATACCGATCATCATAAGCATCATCATCACACTCATCGTCATCTTCAGCATCATCTTCGCCATCGTCATCGTCATCGTCATCATCATCACCCTGTCCATTACCATCACCACCACCATCATCATCGTCAGCATCATAACCATCATGACCATCCTCATCACCATCTTCCTCAACTTTATCCTCATCACCCTCGTTCGCCTCATCACCAGCAACATCATCGGGATCATGATCATAACGGTCATCACAATCATCATCATCACCATACTCGTCATCTTCAGTAGAGGCATCAGCAACAGCATCGGCAACAACCCCACCATCATCATCACCAGCAGCACGATTATCACCATCATCACCATCACCATCACCATCACCATCAGCAGCAGCACCAACATCAACACCAACACCAACATCAACATCATCATCACCATCACCGTCATCATCATCATCATCATCATCATCATCATCATCATCATCATCATCATCATCATCAGCATCGTGTCGCTGCCAAACCGCGCCAGAGTCCCCTCCCATCTGATTTCTGCGGGGACAGGGCGTCCTGCTCCATCATATGGATATCGTTGTTGCCGAGGGCGGCGGCAGCGGCGGCGGGGCGCCGCGTCGAACGAGGAAAACTCAAACGATGGGAATCCCCATCAAGCACGGTACATATAAGAAGGAAGTTTGCATGCCGAGAAGACGGTGGATGGGGTGGGCCGGACGGACCCAAAAGAAAACTACAGTGGACACAGCTGGCGCGCAACGACTGCTACTCATCATGAAGGTGCACGCACAGATCATGATCGCGTCGCTGTCTACCCGCGCCAGAGTCCCCTCCCATCTGATTTTTGTGGAGACAGGGCGTCCTGCCCCATCATACGGATATCGTTGTTGCCGAGGGCGGCGGCAGCGGCGGCGGGGCGCCGCGTCGAACGAGGAAAACTCAAACGATGGAAATCCCCGAACCCATGATCATGTGCTCTGGGAACCAGGTGATCTCGAAACTGCTGGCGGATTTGTTCGAGGATGGCCTCGGCGAAAACGTCGCATAGCTGCTTCAGGTAAGGATCAGCACGGACCGTCCAGAACACGCCTTTGGGATCCGTACCTTTAGGTTCGATGCGAGGTCTTCCAGTGCACGAACACCTATAACCCGTAGATTTACACGCTTTCGAAAGGTAGTGCACCCTGGGGAGGTTGAAAGCCATGGCAGCGGTGGCCTTCTTCTAGGGCTTTCCATATGGGCAGAAATCAGCAAACACCATCTCACCTTGAAGGCCTTGTTTGGTCGCGAAGTTCGGGGACCAACAAAATCCTGATGGACCTGGGATTCTCCAAAATCACAATCGACTTATGTTTTACCGCTGCCGTCAGTAGCTGTATAGAATGGAGTAGAAACAGTTTGCCTAAAGTGACCTTCGCCTGATCTGGCTTGGAGCGGTTAGGTAAACTCATTACACAATGCTCATTATCACGCGCGCGCGCGGGGGCCAGGCCGTCGTGTTTACGTGCTTTTGACCAAGACTGGCACAAAAGACCCACTCACGGTGTGGCGATGACTGGCTGGCGTGATCTCAGGCGCGCCTCGAGCTTGCGGACAATCGCGGGGTCCGCGAGATCTTGTCGGCCCCGTTCTTGATGTCCGAGCTCTCTGTAGTGAGACTTGCGTTGCTGAGAGACCAGTTGAGCGCGGCGGCGCAACGAAGAGCTCGATCGCGCGAACCCGTTGGAGGCCGTGCAAAGGCGACGCTGGTCTTAAGAGCTCTGGACCTCGTCGAGCAGCGTCTTGATCGCGAAGCTGCACTCCCGCTTCTGCTCGGCGTTCATGTGATTCTCCTCCCGCTGCACCTTGGTGCGGGCCTCGTAGCGGCAAACCATCCTGGACTGAGGGGCCCACCTGCCTCGGCGCCCGACGTCGAGCGAGGTCCTGTAGTTGCGGAGCCCATCGTGGCTCGGCCCCCCGCGGCGCAGCTGGCGCATCGCGTGGAGGCGGCCCCTCAACTCCATGTCGACCTGGGCCTTCTTGAACAACCGCGCCGCCGTGTGCGCGGAGACCTTCAGGGGCGGCGCGGTCGGGTCACCCGTCTTGAGACGACCTAGTGCCCGGCCCAGCCACGTCGCGTCTGGGCTGTCGGGGAGGAGGGGTTCGCCCATGAGCCCCGCCTTCGAGGTCTCACAGCGCTCGGACGGGCGGAGGTTCATGGCGTAGTGGGGCGAGGACCCTCCTGGCGCCACCAGGTCGTCCTCGCGGACCCCGCCTGGCCCGCGGGGCCCGAGGTGCCGGATGAACGCGAGAACTATCCACAGCGCGGCGTCTAACCCACTTCCGCGCAGCATCCGCAAGGCTATCGCCGCGCCGCCACCAGACTTCCGGAGATCGGCGGCAGGGTGACTCCAGGCTCGAGCTTTGTCCAGCCCCGCAGTGCACGTAGGAGTCGGGGTAGTCTTGCCTGGCCCCTGGAATATTTGGCGCTGAAAAACAGGAAGCTGTCAAAGGCATCCTGCGCCTCGCTGCGGCCCGTGCCCAGGTCGCACCCTGAGTTGGCGTAGGCCGAGAGCAGTGCGTCGGCGCGGTCGACCGCGTCGAACTTCAGGTCCTTCATCTCTGCGAATCTCATGATGTCCTGGCACCTGCGAGTGCAATCCTTCACCGTCGCCTGGTTCAAGGAGTTCGCCTCTAGAAAGCTGGCCCCCTGCTGCGGCGCCTCTGGGTTGGTGGTCGCATATTCTGTCCTGCGACGAAGGCGTGCCTCGACCCTCGCTGCTCGCGTCTGGTCCGAAGCTCCCACCGCTCCAATCGGCGGCGTCGTCATGGCCGCTGCGGGCCGCTGCTTGGCCTTGAGACCTGATGATGTCGACGATCGAGGCATTCGGCGGCGTAGAGGTTATGGAAGAGACGTGGGTACATGCATGAGACCGCGTCTTCGGTCCCCACAGTCTGGAGCCAAAATCGGCCGGGTTGAACTCGGATGGGATCCAGCGATGCCAGAAGCTAGAGCCGCTCCCAACTACCAGACGCGCGAGCTTCCGACAACATACCAGGGCCCCAGAATTCGTGCTCCGGACGTTTGCCAAGGCCAACGTCGTACTCATATTGCCCCCCAGGTTCAGATGGATCGCCCCGACGTTGCGGGCGGCCCTGAGCTTGCACCTAGCGGCAGCGACGACTCCCCGAGCCTCAAGATCCCAGCATCCTCTGGACCCACATTCTAGCAGCAAAAGTATGTCCCTAAGACTCCTTATGTGATAAATGACGAGGCACTTCTGGAAATCCAGGATTGTCTTCAAGTTGTTCCCATAGATCAGGTTCTCTTTGAGGTTTAACAGTAACTAGATCACGGAAAGGATCGAGTTGTTGTAAAGCACGCTCTCGGGCCCGATAAGCCACCGGACGGTGTCTCCATTTTTCGTGAACCCCGCAGGCGGCCTCGACCTCCTCGGGCTTCCACTCGGCAATGCAAACTGCGATGCACGTCTTGCAGGCGTCGGAGGCCGCGGCCGTCGAGCGCGCGAGTCTCCGCGAAAAAGCGGAAGACACCGCCGACAGGTCTGCGCGCCACCTCGCCTCTCGCGCGGCGGGCGGCCAGAGTCTGGCTCTCTTTGGCCCCAAAGCAGCGGCGGAATCGCACGTGGCCCGAAGCGCTCCGAGAAGCTCTCTTCGGAGAAGAAAGCAGTCCACGATGTGCCCCGGAAGCTGCTGAACCTGTCCCCCCGACACCCTCGGGCGCTTCGAAAACCATGAACACCTCTGTCGCAGCCGTTCCCTCTTGTCCTGAAGATGCTCAATAACCCCGCGACCCCCATCAATGCGTCTCCCAAGACTCCCCGCCATCGCATCGGCGTCCGTCTCCTCGTGCACCTTGAGCCCCACCTTCCTCAAACGCTCACGCACCTTCCCCTTCGCCTCCCGGACTAAAACCGCGTTGGTGCCAATCGCATTGAGGTCGTCGCAGCATGGAAGGAAAGCGGCATGCTCGTCGAAGATGAGGG